TAAACAATATTTGCTTCCCCCACCTCCTCAGGTGTAGTCCCCATAGAATTTCCTTCCCCAATGCACCCGTGCACCATCACCACAGTCCCCTGTGCTTCTCTCTCTCTCTCTCTGATCCCTCTCCCTCCTCCTCCCCTGCAGTATGTCTCTGATTTATAATTTTCTGTTTTTGCCTTGTGTTTTATACTGTTATTATTTTTTTACACTCATGTCTTATTTGGTTCCCCTATATTCCTGCTCTAAGTGAAACCATCCAATATTTTTCTTTTTCCTTCTGGCTTACTTCACTGAGCATGAGCCCTTCCAGCTCCATCAATCTAGCTGCAAATTGCATGAGCTTATGTTTTTTGGTAGCTGAGTAATATTCCCTTGAGTATGTATACCACATTTTCTTGATCCAGTCATCTATTTTTTGGGCATTTGGGTTGTTTCTAGGTTTTACCTATTGTAAATAGTGCTACAATAAACATAGGGGTGCAGGTGTTTTTTGAATCAATGTTTTTTTGACCTTTGGGTAGATCCCTAGGAGTAAAATTGCTGGGTCATATTGTAGCTCAATTTTTAGTAGACTGAGGAACCCCGAGACAGCTTTCCATAGTGGTTGGACCAGTTTGCACTCCCACCAGCAATGTAGGAGATTCCTTTTTCACCACATCCTTGCCAACATTTGTTGTTGCTAGTTTTTTTTTTAAAATATGTGCCATTCTTACTGGTGTAAGGTGGTATCTCAATGTGGTTTTCATTTGCATTTCCCTGATGGTAAGGGATGTTGAACATGTTTTCATATGTCTGTTGGCCATTTGCATTTCTTCTTGGGAGAATGTCTTTTAAGTTCTTCTTCCCATTTCTTGACTGGATTGTTTACTTTGTTGAATCATGTGAGTTCTTTGTATATCTTTGTGATCAGTCCCTTATCAGTTGTATGGAGTGCTCAGTGATTAAAAATAATCATTGATTATTTTTCCCATATCATTTTTGACTTCTTTCAGTTTTTAATCATGGCGATTTTAATTTCTCTGTTGGGAAGGCTCAGAAGTTCTTCCAAGTCACTGTTGTTGCAGTCTGGTGGTTGATTTTCTTTTTGTAGTGAGGACTTGCTTGGTTGCTTGTAGTTTTTCTTCTCCCTGCTGCTTGTTTTCTGATTTGTCCTATGCATTGGGGCACTGTGTCTCTGGTACTGGCTGGCATCCTCTGAGTTCCTTCTGGGTTGTCAGAAGCTCTGACTGTGGGGACAGCCCTTTCTCAGTTCCACACAGTTTTGGTGAGGTCAGGATGTGAAGCTCCCTGTCTTAAAGATGGCACATCTGGGAGGCACTCCCCTGCGTCCTCGGTCTGCCCCAGCAGTGGCTGGATCCCCCTCTGGGCTCCAACTCATGGCCATTCAGCCATTCGCAGGGCCTGGCTTGTGCCAGTTTTCAGCTCACCTCTGACTGTGGGGACAGCCCTTTCTAGTTCCACAGTTTCGGTGAGGTCTGGACAGGAAGCTCCCTGTTTTAACGATGGCGTGTCTGGGAGACACTCCCTTGTGCCCTTGGTCTGCCCCTGGCTGTGGCTGGATCCCCGTCTGGGCACCAACTGGTGGCCAGTCATGGGACCTGGCTTGTGTGGGGTTTCAGCTCACCTCTGAGTGTGGGAAGAGCCCTTTCTCAGTTCCACACAGTTTTGATGAAGTACAGATGTGAAGCTCCCTGTCTGAAACATGGCACGTCTTATGCCTGGTTTTTGATTACTCCATGAGGGTCATTCACCTCAGTGATGGGAAGGGGAGCACCTCAACACAGGGGCTCTTGTTCAAGCTGCGTGTTATGTCTGCCCCATGTTCACCCGGTATTGTGCCCACAGCCATATGGATCTCGCACCCTGAATTTATTACTCTAGGTCTCAGTTTCAGGGCTATCAGATCCAAAACGCTGGCTGTCACCCTGTGCAATGCCCGCTGTTATGGTGTGTCCCACACCCCCATCCTGTGCATGGCTCTCAGTTCCAGAATGGAGTCTTGCTTCACGCCTTGTTTCCCTTCTTACCCCCGTTTGCTTGGCCCACCCCTTCTCAGAGCCTGAGGATGGTTTTGGGATCCCCCAACTATCAGGAAGTTAGTAATTTTGTTATGGTCACTAGGTGGCACCAGAGATCTTTCCTTGTATCCTTCCAGAGCTGCGTTTCCCCCGCCCCCCCCACCCCGTGGGTCTCAAGGGAACAAAGTGGGGGTGGTGTGGAGCGCCTCAATGGCGTGGGGGTGCTGTGTCTGCCCTGTGCCTCACTGTCCTGGGGATCCCATGCCCCAAATTTTGTGCCCCAGTTCTCAGTTCCGAAGCCCTCACATCCAGGTGGTAGCCCAGTTAGTTCAGTGTCCGTAGAAATGGCACCTTTTGCACCCGACTCCCACGTCCGAGCGCCTGGCTTTTTGATTACTCAGTGAGGGTCGTTCACCTCAGTGATGGCTCCCACATGTCTCCCCACAAACCTAGGCCATGGGCATGGGGACCTGGGCAGCCAGGACCCGCATATGCTTGTCGAGTGAGCACGCGTGCGCACTTTTCCCCGCACAAGCTTACCGGCTGGCCTTGGGCTGCTTGCAGGTCTTTCCACGGAACCCTTATCTTCCTCTAATGGTGCCCAGAGCTGTTCACTCACCTCCGTGGCGAGTCCCGCACAGTTCTCCAAGGTTCTTGTCCTCAATGTGGGGTGCAGTGCCTGCAGTAGTTCCCTTGCACTCACTGTACTGCTTGATCTGTAGTTTGTTCTTGTTTTTATCCCCTCCTTTCTGTTGGTCAGAGAGTGCCAGCTTTGTGGATGGGGGAGGGAGGGTAGCAGGGTTCTGAGCTTTCTTCTTTTCTTGTCCTTTTTTATGGCAACTTTCCTCTTCAGGCAGTTTGCCAGGGTAGCCCGTGTATCTTCCGTGTCCCGGTTCTCTCAGGGACCTGTCACTTTTCCTCCCTATTAACTTTTTTTTTTTTAATGGGAGGACTTACGCGCAGCATTTCCCACCACCATGTTGATCCGTCTCTCGCAGTTTGTTTTTGAAAGTGATGTGTTTCCACATTTCAGTCACTATTATCTGAATCTTTGCATCTAAGGCAGTGCTTCTCTTCCACACCTACATCCAGACTCAGGAGTCTGCTCCCAGGATAAAAAAAATACCTGCTCACCTCTGAAAGTTTCTCTTTGAAAGTCAGTTTATGAAGAATTCCTTACATGCACTGTCATTGGCTAGCCTCATAGAAAAATATTTTTATTTTGTCTGGATTTTTCTTGTTAATGTGGTAGTGAAAGTCTTTCACATCTTTCCATAGTCTAGTAGAAGAAATTATTTAAGTATTTATTGTAAGTCATGTAAAGTTCACCTCAACTTTATAGGTTTCAATCCCAGCTGTGGAACTTTTATAATGTTAAATTGTAACATGGCAGTGTAGCCTTGGGAAAAATCTTTTACTTCTATGGGCATCTGTTCCCTTATCTGTAAGAGGAATCATAATTTATACTTTCTGGGATTGTTTTCAGAACTATATGAAATGCTTTGGAAGTTAGGAAGTGAATATAATAAGGTAGTCTTCAGGATGTCATCTAATATGTCTGGGCCTCTACTTCCTCATTTGTACAATAACAGAAATGCTAAAATACATGTGCATTAAGTTCCCAACACAGTTTTCACTACCATACTGGCAGCAGCTGCCATCTTGACTGTAGTAGGGTTCTTAGCAATGCTGACCACCGGTCATCAGGGCTTCTACATGGGGAAGCTTTCTTAGCTACTGGTAAATGTATTTAATAGGCACAAACTATGAAACATGCCATTAAGTAGACAAGTCAAAGACGCTTTCATGTACTTAGTGTTTTCTTTTGATTCGATGTGTTATTTTTTCATTCTGCTGGAAGTGTAAGATTTGGCTTTGGTTATTTATCTTTAGTACCCAAAGATCTGGTACTTCTTATAATCCCTTTAAGATCTGAGGTTAGGATAGAGCATACAACCTCTTTTGTGGTTGATGGATTAATTTCCTCCATAAATGTGCAAAATACTTGGTGAATATGTAATGCTGTGATAGCCATAGAAAGGGGAGATTCTGTGTCCCCTGTCCCACCCAAGGAAGGGAGGTGAAGCTAGAAAAAGACTGAAAAAAAGAGAAAAAGGCAGAGAGAGATAGTCAAAGAAGACTGGAGGAGGCACATGGAGCAGAAAGACACATGAGGAAGAAACTACTCTTGCTTCTAGGCCTTGGACTAGTACCAGTGACTTGGGGCACACAAAAGGAGACTCTTGAAACAGACGTGGGTGAGAGACCTTCATCTTGATTTTGATTTTGCTCTTTTCCTTCCAGACTTGCCTGTGCCCTTCTGCCCTTTTCTTATGGTTCCCTACCAGAAGGTGCCCTAGGCTCATGACAAGATTTTTGGGCCTCAGCTGCCATCATTTGGGCCAGCCCCATTTGGCTGGGCATTTGCCCACAAGAGGATGGGTAACTTGGGATGCTTGATTTTGAGAATATACTCTTTGTCTTTTCTCAATTATTGCACACTAATTGTTTTAGTGTTTCTTTTCCATTGCATTAAAATTATTTTCCATTGAAGGTCTTATTCACTGGAGTATGTTTGTCTTTCTGTGGTGGATGGCAGAACTCACCTACAGTGGGCAGTTTTGGGGGTCCTGGGGTGCCCCTCCTCACTGCCCAATAACAAATATAATCAGTCCAATTTTCTTCCTAGTTTAAAACACCATATCAGTATTGAAGTCATTTACATGAAAGGAATACAATATTTCAACCTGTTAGCTAAACTTTACTTTTAAAATATTTATGGAAAACAGGCTTATGCAATAAATACAAGTCAATATTTTTCATTACCCATGAAATTGTATGACATATTATTTTCTTGCATATTATATTAGTGAAAGAGGTACAGAGCAGATTTAAGCTTCTGAAACAAACCAACTATATTAAACAACTTTATGCAATAAAATGTATTTTATTAGTGACAGCAATCACAACTATGCTAAGACATTAGAGGAGCTGTGCCCGTCAGTCTGTTGCTCATGTATTTAAGGTAACAATATTGCATTACTTTTAAAAACATCCTATAATTTAGATTCTTCATAATTGAGGCTGGCCTTCCCTGCAATTAATCCAAATTGGAAGGTCTGTAAAAAAGACATTTAATGGCTGGGGTGGGGTAAGGAAAGGTGGCTTGGTACAAAGGGTAAGCCACTGAAAAATGATGTGAACAGCTTGTCTCTCAGTTCATTGCAGCCACCATTGCTGACCCTAGAAAAGTATTTTTATTACGTCTAGGTTTTTCTCATGTCAAACTAAAATGTCCAAACTCCAGCCAATGACCAGTTATTTTTAGTAATAATTTCAATAAAATTTTTAAAAAGCAAAAAAGAGAATTCTGTGCAGTATATATTAGGAATTGCTTGTATATCATTTTCATTATTTAGTGAATATGTAGGATCACTGACCCAATAATAGTGACTATTCATCATAGAATTAAATGCACGTTAAGGGGAAGATAAATAAGTGGCTATTCTTTTATCTGTGTATAGTCAATCCTTGATGATTTATGCATGTTAGTATTGGAGATGCTTAAATATGCTTAAGTCTTCATATATGCTTGTCATTCAGAATCTCATAAACAACATTTCCTAATCCATCAAACCTTTACACATAAGCATAGTTGACCAATCTGGCACCATCTGATTTCTTAATTCCCTACCTATAAGGAAAGAATGTTGAAGATTAGTGCTAAACCTGAAAGTCAGGAAGTGGAAAGGAAGAAGATGAGGAGAAAACAAAGAATGTGCTGTTCTGAAGTACCAAGATATATTTCTCCTTGTAGGGAAGAGTTGGAAAGAAATCTCATGTTGCTATGTTTATAAGGTCCACCACTATCTGACCAAATGATTTGCTTGCTTCCAGAATTTTTTCTCACTGTCCTGTATACACCATCACCACCACTTATATCTTCATGTACTTAAGCACACATTTCCTGCCCTACTTTGTCCTACTATCACTAGGAAGTAAGGATCTGAGGGGAGGGGGTGGGGAAGCAACAAACAACAACTCTTAGTTGGCTATTACACCAGTTTTATTTGGTGTGCGGACTAAAAGCAAGAATTTGCATGAAACCTTCAGGGCAGAAGGGAGCTGGGATTCAAGGAGCACAAGAAAAACTCTGAAGGGCAGGCCTGCCTGAAGGCCACTGAACTGGTTAGAACAGGTGTTTGTGCACACAAGCAGCAAGTGATGTAGTTTCCAAAGGTGTGGGAATTGCTGTGAGCAAAACATAGCTACTTCTAGTTTTGCTGCTAAAACTCCTGGGATGGAGAAAAAGACAGCAAGTTGAAAAAAAGAGAAAAAGGCCAGATTCTTGTGCAATGACATTGTGAGGTGAGGCTCCTGAGTAACTCCATTATCTCAGAAAGTATCACCGTAGTGCTTGACTGAGCCCATGTGTCTCTGACATGGAGAGCAAGGTTTGTTTGGTTGTTTTATTTTTATTTATTTATGCATACAAAGAACTGGGGTACAGGCCAGAGGTGTGGGAGGTGAGTGGATTCACCAGAGACAGAGAGGGGAACAGGACAGGTGGATTAACTGGAATACACTGCTGAGGAGAGCAGCGGGCGAGACAGGAGAGGTCTGCTGTGCCATGTGGGTAAGTTCCCTGGCCGGGGATCGAACGCATGCCTCAGTGGCTGGTGATAGCTTCATAGTGCTGAGACTTTAACCTCTGCACCACCAGGGAGGCTCTGGGGATCAAGGCTTTATTTATTTATTTAAGATTTATTTATTTATGCATACAAGAGCTGCGGTACAGGCCAGAGGTGCTGGGGGTGAGAGGATTCACCAGAGACAGAGTGGGGAACAGAACAGGCAGGCTGACTGAAACACACTGCTGAGAGGAGCAGCGAGCAAGGCAGGAGAGGTCTGTTGTGCCATGTGGATAGTTCCCTGGCCAGGGATCTAACTCGAGCTGCAGAGACTGCAGATAGCTTTATAGTGCTGTGCTTAACCCCTTCTGGCACCACAGAGGCCCTGGGATCATGGTTTTAAAAATGACATGAACAGGGAAGGACACACACTTTTTAATGATGATCTGAAGGAAGAGTTGCTGCTGTTGTTTTTCTCTAGTTATAAAAAGTCACAAAACCATCAACAAACAGTCTGACCAATCCACCCTGAAAGGTATCGGCAGAAAATAGCCTTTGTTTTGAGAAATTTATTAAAATAAGAACAAGCATCAGTTGTACACAGAAAGTCATTTGCACTAAACAAATAGAGCAGCAGAGCGATTTTAAATATATTTAAAAATCACAAAATATATTGGTTAAGGCACTACATCCTGTATCATGTTTTCAATAAATACGTTCTTTGTTAAAAAAAAAAAGGCAGTAGTGAGTACCTCTGATTAAACCGGCATAGACATTATGTTATTAAAAACAGTTAAACTTTGCTGTAACCCTTGTAATTCATTCTCAAAAGAACTTTCATTAGCTAAGAGCTTTTCCTTTAAATCTGAGAATATGAAAAAAAAATCACAGTTTTCTCTTTCCAGTTTAAGCCTCTTCCAGAGAGACCTACGTACAAAAGCTATTGGTTTCTTCATATTTTTCTTAGGAACAAGAATTATACATAAAGGATAAAAGAGAGCCACTCAGGAAGCAAAGAATTTAAAGGCTGGATGTCTCAACAGCATGAATCTTGGGGAATGTGTTGTTTTCAACTGCAAAAGATCAATTGGGTTTAGAAAACTCTGGACCTTCCAGCGTCTAAGAAGACTGCTTTGTAGGTGCCTGATGTTCAGGGAGCTTTGGTAAAGCATCTGAGGAGTCTGACCCTCTCCTGTGTTGTGTGGTATAGACAGCACCAGACTGGGAGGCAGGTGGTAGGATGTTTGTTCCGCCACCATTACTTCCAGTAACTGTTTTGTTACAGTACCCAGCAGCTCACAAAACAATGTATTTCAATGGTTGGATTCATTGTTTCCCACGAGCTTTAGTCTGATACTGTGAGTTATTCTTGGCTACAGCTGATGTAAGCAATCAGTGGGCATAGCCTGGCTCAAGGAGCACAGTGACCACAGCAAAGAGGAGAGGAGGGAACTTTCCGGAACCTGACCAGATTGAACATGGCATGTATCTTCTCAGAGCACTCTGCTACCGAGTTAAAAGTCACTGTTTAACTGGAGTTATGTTATTCGTGGAAGGGCATTAAGACATCTTTGTGGTAGAAGTAGGTTGTACAGGTCTCTGAGATTACATTCACATTTCACACATTTGTTTTCTCCAGTCAGATCGTTGTTCAGCACACAAGAGACTGGGCAGTTAAGCTGTATACAGACTTGGGACGAATTATTAGCAAGAATCTTGACATGAACCACACCTCATTTAGGGTGAGACTCAGCCAATTGTATAGAAAAGGCTGTTCATCTTACTGATTTATTTTACTACTGGTATGACATGGGGAGAGTGTGGGGTGTCAAGACTTAACCTGGAAAATAGGCCTTATGTTTTGGCCAGTAAACTAGACACATGATCCAAGTTTTAGGAAATCTAGGACCTACCTGCGCAGATGCATAATTTTATTCTGAAATAATATTGCTTACACCTGCCAGGATTTCAGTGTGACTTTTTTTTTAAATATATATTGAAGTTGACTTTAAATTACAGACACAATTTTATAAAATCCTAACTTTAGAAATCAGTCACTGAGAAGCAATTGCATATAAAGCATCTAATCACAAAAATAGAAAAGGCAATCAAAGAGCACTTCAGTAAGAAACTCTGGAGCTGAAGGCCAGCTAGTTGTTCTTCTCCAGGGACCTGTAATAATCTGTCAGCACTTTCCATGCTTTGGGGGCCATGAAGCCATCAGGGGGATTTTCTCCTTCCCGGGCCAGCTTCCTCATACGAGTTCCTGAGATGAAGTCAAACTGGTTGTGCCTGTCACAGGATAGCAACAGAAAAGGCAGTGGAGGTAAGTCACTTTTATCTCGAAGATTCCTGGAGTAGGGTACGAGATCTTAGACCACATTTTTTCTTTCCGTAAAATGCTACATCTTCTAAAATGGATGGTTTGCTAGCTCCTCAGCTTAGTCAAGAAACTTGCAGAAGAAAAGGGAAATAATGGCAGCCACCCATTCAATATTTACTGGGTACCTGCTCTGTTCATGGAGAGTACCTTCTTTCATTCAGCCTACTATTACAAGCTTTGAACAATATAAATACTCTGAAATCTCTTTTTACGTTGACTTCCTTTACTAAGTGTGCCAGGCACAGTGCCTGTTCAAGGAATGTATGCAGATTTATTAAAAGAGATTTATGGACCATCTACTATATGCAAGGAGCTGTGCTACAACTTAAAGGGACACAAAAGATCAGGGCTTGACCTTCAAGGGATTCATTCAAATTCGGAGCACATGGAGTTGCACACGAGTTTCTCAAAGATACAGAACCTGCCTCACCATTGCAGTTGTACAGACACTGGTTAAAGAATCTCCCCCTGAGAACACACCTTGCTGGGTCATAGAAGTCCATGGCTTTTTTGGTTTTATTGTAGGCAGCCACTCGGAATGGGATGATTTCCACAGAGGTGAGGCCAGGGGCCATGCTCAAGACCTTGCCCCCGTGAGTGGGTTCATACAAGTCCTTCTTGGTCTCAGGGTGGGGCATTCCTGCAGGGTCTCGGCCCACAATGTAGAAATTTGCCCCAGCAACCATCCGGCACCTGCAGTGCCACTGGACCTGGGAACATCAAGGACATTCTCATCATCATTCTCATCATCACTGGTCACCTATAGATATGCCTTTATTCTGCTTTAAAAGTAATTCAGCGATGTGGGTCAATGAATAATGATTGCAGGGAAGCCAGTCAGGTGTGTCCGAGAGTCTATGCTTTCTTCATCATTCTTTGTTATACTGGGTAAGGTAGGAACTTTTATTTTAACCTCTTAGCAGCTGAGGTGGTGTTTCCTAATCTCTCTGATCAGGCTATCAGAACAGGAACACTTGCTCTTACTGTTCTACAGAACTATGTGTATTTTACTTTCCAGTCCCTCCCTAATCAGAATAAATCATAGTTTAAAGGAAATGACAAGCTCCAGTAACCCTTATTTTCTGAATGCCAGTTATAAGCTAATTTTACCTGCTATACCAGACCTTGATTCCAGTTCAACACAATATTGGGACTTTAAAATGAGTTGCCTTCTTTTAAGTTCAGATAGAAATCTAGTGGATGGAGAGGAGAGCTAGGAAACTGGAACTTTGATCTGGCTGAAGAACATTAATTTATTAAACTCAGTTTGGGGCACTTGGTGTTGAGACCCTTTTAATTCATCATCCTCCTGCAAACTTGTTCAAATTCACTGCACTGGTGGTACAGTAGGACAAAGAAAATCTGTTTGATAGACTCACAGTGTTATGATGAAAGGGAGATACTAAGCTTTTAAAGAAATACTTTCCCTTCTAATGCAGCTCAAAGGGCAAAGCAAATCACTTAAGAGTTCCAAACCAGAATTTTGGAAACTAAATATTAGGCTAGCTAAAACTCACCCTATAACCTAGGTCAGATGCATTATTGACCTCATTCATATGTCAACCTCCATACTCTCAAAGGTATTTATAAGAGGTTTGATGTCTTTAGCACTTTTATAAATGCTAAATGGAAATACTAATTCAGTTGGATAAAGAGACAAGAAGATTGTGGAATCTAAAAAAAAAAAAAAAAAGGGCCTCCTCTGGTGGCACAGCGGTTGAGCGCTGGGTTGCGAAGCTGCCCGCAGCCTCTGCAGCGCCGGTTCAATCCCCAACCTCGGTGTGAGGGTCTCACGCCATGCCCGCTGCTCCCTTCAGCAGTGTATTTCGTCACTCTGCCTGTCCTGCTCTCCGCTCTGGTTCTGGTGAATTCTCTCACCCTCCCGTGCTTCTGACTGTACCCAGTGCTTGTATAAATAAATAAATAAATCTTTAAAAAAAAAAAGATTGTGGAATCTGCTCGTGAGGAAGAAGGAACCCCCAAACTCATTTGCTTTTCTAAATAGAGTTTGAGTCTATACTTCTGAGTGGTGTAGCCTAATTCAGGGAACTGCTCACCTCTGTGGGGCCAGCGTATAACATGGGAGATGGGAAGATGGCAACGATGGTTGACTTGGGATCCAGGACTCCTTCCTCCAGCACAGCTGCGTGCTGCTTCATCCGCCAGTCCAAGGGCACATCATCATCCTTGGTCCAACCACCCAGAGGGTGGAGCAGGAGGACTGGGTGCTTATACCCTCTCTCCAGGAGCCGGCGGCGGGTGTCCTGCATCAACAGAGCATGGCCATTGTGGACAGGATTTCGCAACTGGAATGCAAACACCGCATCTGGGAAAGGAAAGTGTGAAAAGGAAGGTCAAAGAAATACACAGTGTTTTGGTATCAGCAAGAACCAAAAGGAGGGCCTCCCTCGTGGTGCAAGGGGTTAAGACACAACCTATGAAGCTATCCGCAGCCTGCGAGCTAGCCATATGGTGCAGCAGACCTCTCTTGACTTGCCTGCTGCTCCCCTCAGCAGTGTGCTTCGGTCAATCCACCTGTCCTGTCCCCACTTTGTCTCTGGTGAATCCTCTAGCCCCCCACATCTCTGGCCTGTAACCCAGTTCTTGTATGCATAAATAAATAAATCTTAAAAAGGAAAAAAACCAAAAGGAAAGATGCAGCTATGTTTATTGTTCAGTACATTTATTATTGATATATCCACTTGCTTATGATAAACCAGCTGGAGAATTCCCCTGGGTTGTTAGGGGTTTAATCCAATGGTGCCAACCAATGCCAGACTGCTTAGATAGGGGTGGACACAAAAGAGGTAACCCTAAAGAGAGAGTGACTCACAAATGAAAAACGTTTGTTGCCAGGACCCTTCCTGCCAACCAAGGCTAAAGCAGGGGCTGGCATTAAGCCCTCTTGCACCCTACTCCCAGGCTCATTTATCCAGTGGGGTGGATACTGATGAGCAATGATTTCTGCTGTTTATCTAAAGATAAAAATTATTTCATCTTCGCTTTAAACAAATCTTCAAAACTCCATTTAGTGATGGATTTCTGAGAACCTTAATTTTTCTTTCTGGTTATGAAATAAATGACTATAAATCGATTATGGAAAACTTGCTAACTAGTAATAAGCTCTAAATGCAAAGGGAAATTTTCCCCAAGCGTTGGTCCAGGTTTGTAGTATGGTCATCTGAACTTTAGTACACATGCTGCCAGAGACTTCTGCTTCTGATCATATGATTTATGCTACTTAGCCAACTTGGCTAAGGTTTTAAAAATAAACTACAGTTGACTCTTGAATAACTTGTAGAATCCTAATCCCTAGTCCCTCAACTCTCCACTCCTGTCCACACATTCAAAAATCTAAGTATTAGTTTTATTACTGGAGAGTCGACTGCTTATGGGGAGATAAATAGGGTTATACAGTATTGCATCATGAGCTCACTGCAATAGCAACAGGAGGTAGCTGCAAAATTATCACAGTCATGTAGTATGCAGTACAGTTAATTATATGCAGCTTACATTTCTCTTGAAATGTAACAAATCTTCATTTGTTTACATTTCTCTTGAGTTCAAATGGTACCATGTATGGTCTATAAATGTGCATGCAAGGTTTGATGAATTTTAACTTTTCATAATAGATTTGCGTATAAAATAGTAAATGTAAAATAAACTTATTTTCAAATCTCCAAGAAGTTTTCCAAAATATTTTTTAAAGATTTGTTTATTTATGCATACAAGAACTGGGGTATAGGCCAGAGGTGCGGACAGAGTGGGGAACAGAACAGGTGGACTGACCAAAATACACTGCTGAGGGGAGCAGCGGGCAAGGCAGGAGAGGTCTGCTACACCATGTGGATAGTTCCCTGGGTGTGGATCAAACTTGTGCTGCAGTGGCTGCTGACAGCCTCACAAGTTGCATCTTAACCTCCTGCGCCACCAGGGAGGCCCAAGTGGCTCAGCAGCGGGCGGCAAGAGGTGTCTGCTCGCCATGTGGGAGCCTCACCTGGTGGCTGGGGATGGAACTGACGCTGCAGAGGCTGCGGGCAGCTTTGCAACCCAGCATTCAACCGCTGCACCACCAGGGAAGCCCCAATATTTTTATTAAAAAAAAGTTCATGTATAAGTGGACCTATGCTGTTCAAAACCATGTGGTTCAAGGGTCAACTGTATCATATTTTATTTATTTTTCCAAAATTAAACTATGTACATTGTTCTGCAGTTTGCATTTTTGCTCAAATACATGTTGAATATCTTTCTCGATTAGGGCATATTTTTAATTGCTGCATAGTATTCCAATATACGGCTGTAGTTGAAATCTATAAATTGTTTCCATATCAACTGGTGATTCCATGTACTTTTTTTATTTTTAAAATTATAAATATGCTTATAACTGGTATCCTTAGTTCTTTAATCAGAGTGTGGTAAGGAGTACTAACAAATGCTCTACAGCCAACTTACATACCAGCATTCATTTCTTTAAATTTCTGCTTGAGCTCCAGTGGTGTCAGGCGGTATTGGTCCAATCCATCATTCCATTTTATTCTCTCCAGCACCTGAAGGTCTCCACCAACCAGCCAATCCCCACTTTCCATCACCATCTAGAAAGATCAATGATAAAGTTGCTAGTGATTAATAGAAACATTGATTTCTATTTTATCTGAAAATTTTCCCTTCTATGGACTAATTTTGGATTCCTGTTGAAAAACAATTTTCAGTTCTCTAGCATCTCCAGCAGAATATATCTCAAACTCCCTTCATACTCTTAAAAATACTCCCTTCATATACCTCAGTCTCTTCATATTCTTAAAAATTATTGAGAACATCCAAAAAGCCTTTGTTTGTGATGATTATATAGATATTGAATAAATTTTTTAAATCATGATATATATCGTGATATATATGTGTGATACATATAATAATGATATATATATAACTTTATTTTAAAAAGATTTTTATTATTTAATATATTTTTTACATCATTCTTCATTTTTATACAATGTATGCTTTATCATCTTGGGTAAAGTCCCCATGGAATTCCCACTACCAAATCACCTGTGTACCATCACCATAGTCCCTTGCGCTCTTCCCACCCTCATTATTTTTTTTTAAAGATTTATTTATTTATTTATACAGTCAGAAGCGCGGGAGAGTGAGAGAATTCACCAGAGCCAGAGCAGGGAGCAGAGCAGGCAGAAGGACCGAAGTACACTGCTGAGGGGAGCAGCGGGCGGCAGGAGAGGTCTGCGCGCCATGCGGGACCCTCCTCCGGTGGCCGGGGAGCAGCCGGGGATCAAACCGGCACTGCAGTGGTTGCGGGCATCTTCGCAACCCAGCCTCAACCACTGCGCCACCAGGGAGGCCCTGATTAGAAATTAAAGCTGAGAAAGTTTTAAGATATTTTTAATAAATGTTTGTTAAACATAATACTAATAATGATAACCCTATTACATATTAACATAAAGACATAAATAACATTTTACTTATAGTGAAAATATTTTCTAAAGATGAGGAAAAAATGACTTTGTTTCACATATTTGTAAATCTCTTTTTTTAAAGATGTATTTTGTTTATTTATGCATACAAGAGCTGGGGTGTAGGCCAGAGGTGCGGGGGGAGGTGTTGACAAGATTCACCAGAGACAGAGTGGGGAGCAGAACAGGCGAATCTACTGATATACACTGCTGAGGGGAGCAGCGGGCAAGTCAGGAGAGGTCTGCTGTGCCATGTGGGTCAGCTCCCTGGTCGGGGATTGAACTCATGCTGCAGTGGCTGTGGACAGCTTGATGGTGCTGAGACTTTAACCCCTGAGCCATCAGGGAGGCACCCTGACTTATCCTATTTTCAATAAGGACCCAAAAGAGAGGTCCTGGAAAAATAAAAACCAGACGAGATGTTTTCTACCAGCTAATTGTGCTGAGCATAATCTCTATGGAAACTCTCAAAAGAAACATCCTTCTTAGTTATCTCCAATTTAAAAAGGAAAGGACAGGTGCAAAGAGCAGCAAAATGTAGCCAAATGAATATCTCAGGCTTTTTTACTGAATCTTTGACAGTGATGCAAAGACCATTCAATGGGGACGGACAGTCTCTTCAAAAATCATGTTGAAAAAACTGGATAGCCACGTTCAAAAGAAAAAGCTTAGGACTTATTTTATTTCATATGCAAAAAAAAATCAACCAAAAGGACTAAAAACCTACATATATGACTGAAACCTACAAAGCTTTCAGAAGAAAAACTTCATGACATTGGACTTGACCATGATTTCTTGGCGATGACACCAAAAGCACAGGCAAAACCAGAGATATGGGACTACTTCAAACTTAAAAATGCAATCAGTAGAACACAATCAACAAAGTGAAATGACAACCTATGGAATTGGAGAACATATTTGCAAATTATATGTCTATCAGGGGATTAACTCCTGCCTGGAAATGTGGGTCCCCACCGGCTGCTGGGATTTGCTGCCTGACTGCCAAGTGAGACCTTCCAGTTGGGATACTGCCCACTCCCAATTTGGGCTAACTCTGCACCTCCAAACAAGCTTAGCTTATCTGAACCAATTGCCTTAAGCAGTCAATGGACTGAGTCTGATTACTTTGGGCATAGACTTATTGCACCCCTCAGTAGCCTACCTGATTGTCCTTGCCCCTAGCTCCTCCACCCAATCCCTTGTCCTCATGAAATGGATCAAGAAGAGGATGATGTTCTCCCTGGGGCAGAGGGATGTGTTGGAAGCGCTACTTACTAAGACTTGTACCTGGATATCTTCATACTAGAGAAGGTGGCGCTGAAAACCTGCCCAAGTCCAGGTGTAGGAACTGTCTCATACCACACACAAAAATTAACTCAAAATGGCTAAAAAACTTGGATATCAGATGTGAAACCATAAAACACAGAAGAAAGCATAGATAGGCAAAACACTCCACAGACATATGCTTCAGAGAAATCTTGAACAACAAGAGAACCAAAAAAGAATATAAATTTTGGGGACTGCATCAAACCAAAAAGCTTCTGCACAACAAAACGAAAACAAATAACCCAATCAGAAGAGTTAAATAGGCAGAAGAATTAAATAGGCACTTCTCCAAGGAAGACATACAGATGACCAACAAGCACATGAAAAAATATCTGTCACTTATTGTCAGGGAAATGTCAATCAAAACCACAATGAGGTACCATCTCATGCCTGTGAGAACAAAGGTTTTCTTAATTTGCGGTCATCAAAAGCACCCTAGCAACTAAAGCACCACCACATTTTGTATAACCAAACACCACCAAAAATAAACAAAACTAAATCTTGAGGGAAAGGAGGGATGGACCTATCACCTTAAACAGAGGTGTTCCAATGTTTTAGCCAATACTTGGTTGAATGTTAGGAATGGATGGTGTCTCAAGTTCACTCACATTTCATGACAAACAACTAGTTGACACTGAAAAACGTTTCAGGGCTGTGTGAACTGTGCCTCTGATTGTCCTAGATACATTACTTTAAAAAAAAAAAATGTTTGGAGCCTCCCTGGTGGTACATGGGTTACATGCTATCGCCAGCCACTATGCCAGCCAGCCACTGCAGCATGAGTTCGATCCCCGGCCAGGGAGGTGACCCACATGGCACAGCAGACCTCTCTTGTCTCGGCCGCTGCTCCCCTCAGCAGTGTGTTTCATAGATCCACCTGTTCTGCTCCCCACTCTGTCTCTGGTGAATCCTCTCACCACCCACACTTCTGACCTAGACCCCAGTTTTCATATGCATAAATAAAATAAATCTTTAATGAAAAAAATAATGTTCATAGGAGTAAAAAGGTAGTTTAAGAGATAGTGTGTCACATAAATGGTACATATGTGGTTTTTAATCATGCTAGACTTCAAAACTGTGATCTCTTCTTATTGTATGCAATCTTGAACTCCACCTCTGCAGAGGTGCTTCTGTGATTAAATAGATTATAAACCAAATGAGAACAACTTCATATTTACCTAAATAAAAATTATCTTTTACTGGCGGTGAGTTACACAGAGACTTTACAACAACAAAATATCTTTGGACGAGGAGAGTGAGTGAAGGGAAACAAAAGGACTCTAATCACCTGCAATTTATGATTGGTACCCCTAACAATACAGAGACCTCGGTTAATTGCTCTAATCCTGACAAAATTATAAACTGAGATCACTGTTGTTTATACTTACAGATGTTAAATAGGAAAGTTATATTTGAATAAATCTTTTTTCCCTGGACTTGGCAGATATGTATAATTACATTTAAATGGATCTAACATACACATACACATAAGTAAGCAAAGAGTGGGAATCTAAATTGGCACAGTGTATGTAAAACAGTATGGTGGTTTCTCAAAAAATTAAAAATAGATGTACCATATGATCTAGCAATTCCACTTCTAGGTATCTACCCAAGAAATACAAAACACTTATTTTAAAAGATATCTAAACCCTGTATTCATTGCAGCACTATTGATAATACTGAAGATAAGGAAACAACCTGAGAGTCCACTGACAAATGATTGGATAAAGACGTCTTGTACTGCTATGAAAATAGGGTTTAGGGCCTCTCCAGTGGCGCAGCAGTTGAGTGCTGGATTGCGAGGCTGCCCGCAGCCTCTGCAGCGCTGGTTCGATCCCTGGCTGCTCCCAGCCACTGGAGGAGGGTCCCACGTGGCGCGCAGACCTCTCCTGCCGCCCGCTGCTCCCCTCAGCAGTGTACTTTGGTCCTTCTGCCTGTTCTGCTCCCCACTCTGGCTCTGGTGAATTCTCTCACCCTCCCGCGCTTCTGACTGTACCCAGTGCATGTATAAACAAACAAACAAACAAACAAATAAATAAATAATACATGCCTCTTTAAAAAAAAAAAAAGAACAATGATGTAAAAAATAAATAAAATAAAAAAGAATTTAAAAGAATATCAATAGTGCTGAATGGTTGTGAAACTCTGGGTAGAGAGACTGAGTAAAGGATTTGATTGTGTTTTCATGGTCCCCTTCTGTACTTGGAAAATTCACTTAACAAGAATATTGTCCAATACTCGTACTAATACATTTCCTTTCTTCTCATTGCTTAGAGTTAGACTACAGATAAAATTGAAAGGACTTCAAATCCCTGAGCATACAGTAACTCATTGTGGACACTAGGGGTCCACCTAATAACGATCTACTGGTGAAGGCAAAGTTGAATTGATGTCTTCTACTTCCCAGTCTGAAAATGTGCCTGTTTGAAGTGCAATGATGAAACAATGCTTTTGGTATTTCTATGATGGAGTGGGACAAAGCATGTTCCCTTTCCAAAACTGCCCAACTGTTCCCAGAACTACAGTCTATCATGAAGAGCGCTTCAGTGGTTAATTTCCTAGGACTTTGTGGCCTAGAATTCCTCACCTCCTTCCAATTCTGCCACAGGAGCTAGAAAATTTGCAAAACTGGACACACAGGAATGACAACCAGGCTTTAAAAAAGTCTAGTGAACTAGTAAAGGGGCGTGACACACAGACAATAGGACTACAAAAAGGAGAAGAGGGTGAGGTCAAACACTAGGATGAAGACTAGAAAGCTGTGGTGAATAGGTTCAAAGAGGACAAGGAGAGAAAGACTG